TATTGTTAAATATTCTCTTCGGGTAGAATTGGGTGGGTGGGTTCTTGTTTCGTCGTAACTGATAATATAAATGGTAAATCAAAAAATAACTGTATTTAATCCTCTGATTACTCTGACTTATCCACAATTGTTTATCAGAAGTCCACTACCACTGACAATTACGCAAGCCCCACCGATTACCCCACTGCCTCCAACGAGTGCTCCACCAGTGACAACTCAACTACTACCAAGTCCTCCTAACAATGAACCTACTCTGGCATACGCCGCAACGGATCCGACAAGTGAAAATAGATGTATATTCAACATTGACATGGTTTTACTTGATGTGTAGAATATGTAAAGTAATAATCATATATGTATGTCCTTTTATACTATTTTTATCGTCAGGCACGTAATACTTGGGTTACAAATACTAGTGGTTTGATATAATATGAAAAAGGAGAATTGTTAGATTGTGGTTAAAAATTGTTCAGTTTAGTCATATGTTAGTTAAGCAGGGTTTTTTTCTGTGGATAAAATCCTATACAGAGCCTTAATTATCACAAACGTTACAGATGACAAAATTAGATTAACGAATTTCAAAATAGTTTGCTGATGTAAGCCAATTTGAAAAGAGACTATTAAAAATCTGCCAATTTTCACTATTGCATCAGATAATATGTTTTCAAAGAAAGAAGCTTTTTTTTTTAATTTCATAAATTTATAACTTTGAACAAACAAATTGATACAAAAATACCATATTTTTTTGATTTTTGTATTAAATCTTAATTAGAAGACTGAAGAAATTGAAGCGTAGAAAATACATCGTCTTGACTTAAATGTAATATGGGTGTTCCTTTACCTTTCTGGATATATGAATTAAGAGCAATCAACTGAAAAATGTCTCCCAAATTTACTAATTAATTGAATTATAAAAAGTGTTAAAGATCCTTGAAAGTGGTGTTATACTAACACGACTCACGCATGATACTCGTCTGACTCAATTACAGCGCGTGCTTTTCAATTTTATGAACAAAACTTCAGCATTATAAAAGTAATGAATGGCACTTGGTCATCCATGATTTCATAATAGGGTCTTTAGAAATACTGTGAAAATGTCTACTCGCGTAGTGGTATTAACAATTTGTGGATTCTAAAAATCCTTAAAGATTTTCTGGATAATTTTAAACCTTGATCTGAAATTATTTCTATCAAAACTTGTGAGTGTTTTTCAACCTTGTATACCACTAGTCCCCATCTGAAATTGAAAAATCGTTTAAAAAAAATAATCCACACTGCTGTTTAATATACAGATAGTAGGAAACACTATCCATTTATTGCTTTTGGATATCATACGGTATATTTTGTTAATAGTAAACACAATGAACAGTATTTGACGTTTCTTATTGACAAAATATTTGTTGAATTTGCAGGTAGACTTTGTCAATAAATTGTCGTTATTCCTATGGAAACGAACTGTGCGACTCTCCTTGTCGACCTCTTCTTATTTTTATATGAGTCGACGTACCTTCAGGCACTTGTCAAAAATAATAAAATCAAAGAAGCCAGATCATTTAATTTCACATTCAGATATATTGATGATGTTTTTCTATTAACAATCCAAACTTTTCTGATTTGTTCCATTTATATATCCCTCAGATCTAGCAATTAAAGAAACAACAGACACGGCTTTCCTCCGCCACATTTTAAGACTGATACCTCGAAAATGAGATAAGCGGTCATCTCAGTACCAGAATCTGTAACAAACGAGACGATTTTAATTTTGAAATTATAAATTTTCCCCACCTTAATAGCCATATACAAATTTTATGCATGGTCCAACTCATTCGGTATTCAAGAGCTTGAAGCGGCTACTTAGACGTTATAAAACGTCACCAGTGTCTGAGCAGAAAGCTGATGAACAAGGGTTATGTCCGATAACGTCTCGTCCTTTTTCTAATAAAGTTCATCAGAAGATACCAAGACCTTGTTGATAAATATTCAAAAAACAATACATGATGGTCTTGAAGTCTAAATTATAGGTACTGACGTTGTTTATTGCCTTATTTAAGTGTTATAATGTTATTTTTGTTTGTCTTTGCATATTTTTAACCTTTAATGGCTAGTCCATTTTTGATAATATACTTTAAGCGTGGTTCGGTATTTATATATCCCGCCATTGCATTATTGTGCTATGGTCATTTTTTGTATTCATTTTTGCGTATGCACTTTGTCTATAGAATGTCTATTCCCATTTCGTCTTTCTTTGTTGATATATTTCTTTGTTTGTATAATGATCAAGATTATAACACAATGTTGATTGCTGTACCCCAAATTTTGAATTTTTTACCTGTTGTGTTTGTTTGTTTTCCTCACACATTGTTGTCAATATAAAGGACTTATATGTAACTGTCAAGCAATTGAGAAGTTTAGTTAGCAACACAACCAGGTGTATTCCACCATTTGCTACATAAGAAAATGCCTGTTCCAAGTCAGGAATATGACAGTAGTTTTCCATTCGTTTGATGTGTTTCAGCTTTTGATTTTTCCATTTTATGAAGGACAGTTTTTTTGGGATTTTGCTTTTTGATATAGATCTAACCTCCAAAAATAACGCTATTGTTGAACAAAATGTTTAACTACAGCGCTTTTAAATTTTACTAAAAAAGACAATGATTTTTTAAGACCGCAGTTTTTGTCACACAAATCGTATTTAATCTCGTGATTATAAGCTAAGTCTGGTATCTTTGATGAGTTTATATATTGCACTAGAAATTTAGAAAGAAAGCACTTTAATCTATTATCTTAGAACTTTCGCAGAGTAACTGAACCAAAAAACTAAAAAAAAAAAATGACATTGTCAAAAACAACAAGAAAATATCTAACAGTAGATACATCGGTTTTTTATTGTTTTTGTTTTCTGTTTTAGATTACATCAGCAACGTGTGAGTGAACATGACAGATATTGTGATAACGGCATGTTCTGAACTGAAATGTGTAAACACAAATTTCTAATTTAATGTCTGATGTAAGTAAGTGTTAACAATATTTATTAAACACTGTCGTCATACATAAATCTCGAAGTAAACTTTTAGGATTTGATGATCAGCCCACAACAGCATTACTTATGCAAGAACACATTTGGAAACGAAGAACAATCATTGATTTGGCTATTATGTTAGGGTTCGGTTCGTCATACATTTATTTTTCTTCAGTACTTTTCTGGGTTTTTTAAATGCTTGCTCTACGCGTTCCTGCTGGAGGTCAATCTAGGAAAGTGCTTCAAAAGCATACAATTTTTAAACTGATATTGTCTTTTTTTTAGTTTATACATTACACATGACATTTTTAAAATAAAACCCCTTAACATATTGGGTTTTTCCCCATAGTGAGTGTTGGGTGTTGAAATTGTATTGTTTATGTTAAAAATTTTTCTAAGTTCTCATATATGAAAATTTTAAAGAAACTAAGGTTCCAAATTCCTAAGGCAAATTTGACATAAGATAAACTTAATTATTTCATGTTTTTCATGTCGAGGCCTTTTACGGCCTACTTTTCAATATGGTTTTTATTGTTGAAGGCCGTACGGTTGCCAATAATTGCCTACATCCACTTCATTTGAATTTCGGTGGATAGTTGTCTCATTAACAATTATACCACACACCTTTATTTTCATATAAACTATATTCTTTAGTAATTTTAATTTTTTATCAATTAGCTCTTATTTCCGTATTTATGAATCCCTGGCTTTCTTATGTTAAGTGTAAAAATCAAACATTTGATTACAGGAATGGAACAAACATTTTGTTATGAGCAACATTTAAATATAGAAAATAAGGGGTTTTGGGTATGTCAATGATACTGCAGCCCACCCACCAAAATATTAAAAAAACACGAAGGAGAACGTATGGTCTTATACAATACATGGGTGTGTACAATAATTGCCTACGATAGTTCAATTTATGACTGGAGTTAATTAGTTGTCCACATTGGTTAAATCTTGATATTGTTTAAGTACGTCTCTATCATGTCTATCTAGAAGTAAAATGGGATACTTTGACACTTTTTTTCTTATAATTACTTAACAAGTTATATTATATTTGTTGTTAATGAATTGCTTACTTACCCCTCTAATTTTCATTATTAGTAAGAATATTTCATTAATAATGTATCATGTTTTACTATGGACATTAACATGGCTTATAACCAGGTAGTTTAGTTTTATATTTTCCTTGGCTAGTTTTATGTTGCGTTCACCCCTAAGTGCAAGAATCTAAATTCTAGCAGAGCAGGATGTGCTTTCCTTTTTTTCAGCACAACAAATCAACTCAAGTGTGTTTGTTCGACTTTGGTAACTAAATGTAAAATGATGTTTGTCTTTTCGTCGTTTTCAGTTTCTGTTTACCCATGACGTACAACATCTTCAAAATGTAGAGGTCAAATTAACCAAATGATGATTACACAACCAAAAACAAAATGTGATTGTAAACAAAAAACAAACATGGAAATCTGTTTGTTATAGTATGATGGTAAATTAACCTGAAGTAAAAATGAAATAAACCAAAGTGTCTGTGTTTTAAAAAAAGATGTTATTTGCAAAAAAAAAATGAAAACACCACGTAATCAATTCCAATTTTCTTGATTAACCTTCATCAGAAACTCTCAAAGCCGAATATTTTAAAGCCAAGGCTGTGTAAGAACTGAATCAGTTGAAGAGCAAAATGAACAAAAAGGACGCAAAAAAAACATTTTCATCTAAGTTCAACTAACATGTTTACTATGCACACTAACATTGCTTATAACAAAGTTGTTTAGATCTATGTTTTCCTCAGCTAAACAATGTTGTGTTCACACCTAAACACAAAAAACTAAATTCAAGTGGAGCAGGGTGCGGTTTCCTTTTAACAGCACAACATTTAGGTTTGGGTAACTTAATGTAGAATGCTGGTAAAAATAACAGAATATAAACTACACGGCCAACAATCAAATGTGATTGTAAAAAAACACAAACAAGCATGACATTCGGTTTGTGATTATATTTATTAAACACATTTACTAACTTCTAGCATTTCATTTCAAGTTTTTCTTCGTGTTTGTGTTACCTACAATAAGAAGATACACCAATTAAAATGTTAGTAAAAAATTCCAGCATATCGATATTACTAATCTAAACAAAAATAGGCATCAATGCTTTAGTGAAGGTCCACTTATGTGTGTGATACAACAAATCTATCGGACTGTGAACTATATGTCAAAATTTAGACATTATAATATATATTGCTAATTCTGCAGCGAATTCAATTAAACAGCACATAGATCAGGCAATGCCCACATAATAATCATCTGATAGATTCAAGGCAGAAAACACTTGATTCTCTCCTTCATAATGAACAGAAAAATACATTGCTCAGAGTTTCTCTAATTGCATGTGTAGCGGACTATGCACGTACTATCGATAATACACAGTTTCAAGGAACGCCATGTAGACTTCTACATGAGGTTTCATAAAGAAAAAATCCTGAAGTTGAAAGCTCACATACACTACTTTTTTTTGCCAAAGAAAGAAACAAAAAAACAACGGTTTTTGTACAACAATTGTATTCTTCGAACGTCGTAGTATTCAAGCGTATGCATGCCCAGCAAAATGTCTTGCTCAAAGTATATATGATTGACGTTGTACGTACACCGCAAATACACAGAGGAAATAATAAATGTGATAGAACATATATATACAAGAAATACAAACTTACATTTCAAATACTTAATAATATCCTCCTTTACCAATTGGTCCACTGAGAACACTGCTGCCTCCTCCAATGACACCAACAGAACCTCTGACAACACCACCAATTGGACCTCCGATACCACCAATGGAACCAAGAAGTCCACTACCACCTCCTAAAATACCACTTACACCACCGACAATACCTCCACCACCAATAAGACCAGCTCCACCAAGTGAAAGACCGTAATTTTGGTTGGTTACCCACCCTGGCAATAAGGAACAACAAGTATTCAATCTACCAGGAAGAAGAGGTGCCAAGTTACAGTTCTTGTTGAGTTTTATTTGTCCTGGAGCACATTTCAAACTACATGTGCACCATGGTCGACCTCCACCAACAAGTCCTGTAAATAAATCAATTTCAAGATTTGTCGTCATGTATATTAAATAGTATACTTGGTTGGTGGAATATAAACTTGATAAATTGTGTTTGACCGAAGCAATTTTCGGAATTTACCTATGTGTAAATACAATGGAATGTTTAGAGTTCTATGACGAAAACGAACTTTAACAGATAGACAAATGTATCTGTGGTCAATTTTGATTGATTGAGTCTGAACCGTAGATTCTACACAATTGTTTATGTTATCAACGAGGTATATAACATTGAGCTGAGTATATCATCGGGAACTTTCAGTCCTCCATGTTCTGACCCTAACTGGTAAATTAAATCAGCACTTGACGAATGTCATTAGTCTATGACATGTTATGTGAATTTATATTCAGCTACAACGTTTTTTTTTTTCGTATAAGGCACATATTCATTATAAATTAGATACAGTGTTGTAAGAAAGAGACATATTATTTAAGAACACAGATAGATGAATATATGACAGATAAGTCTTGCAAATATTTCAATTAAAATGTGTGATGTTATATTATGTTTATTATATCGTATACTTGGTTAATGAAACAACAATCAATGAAATTGAGTTTATCTTAAAGCGATTTTTGGAATTCTTATCTATCGCGAATTTCTTGATTAATCTAAATCAGAAACGCTCATTAGTAAGCATTTACCATCTAGAGATGCGTATATTGTAATACAATACAATGCTAGGAGTTATATGTGACTAACAGGGATTTAAACAGACAGACAAAAGAGTAGGTTCGATCAATCCCCAAATTAGCTCTTGTTTTTAGCACTACTTTCGAATTAGAAATTCCTGACCAGATTAGCAACCAATATAGCTAATACAATAACAAAGTTGTGACGTCAAAACTAGCACTCAATTTAATTTTCAACGAAAAGTGAATAAACACAGGAACATTTACATATATCATTTATATCGACAGAAAATATCTCTTCGAGTAATGTCTCCTAGAACATTTCAAATATTTGACTATAAAAGTAAGTTTGGCAAAGCCTGCGCCCCAGATGCTCTATGTTTCCTATGCCTAAATGTGATTAAAATTTGGACAATTTTGTCAAATTGCGCAAATATCTTCATTCGTTGGCCTTTATTGGGATGTACACATCAACGCTGTAGAATAACATTTTCCTTCATGCCTTTTCGTCATTTTGAAACTTTTTTTTCTCCATTGAATTTAATAATGGATCCAAATATGACCTTAATCAAATTTATTCCTTTAACTTTGATCGATGGAGTGTGAACCTCAGATTTTTAAAAAATCTTTAATTTATGAAAGGGGAACTCAGGAAAAACCTGATGATGCCAACAGGGACTAACAATCGATCAGGTTGTATGCCTAGCTGGTAATTTAGATAAGCACTTGGCAAATTGCGTGCGACCAGTGCGTTTTTTTTTTTGTAATGTTGCGTTCATCGGGACGTCTACCTTCCTATAATGGACATATTCAGTAGAATTGCAGCGATTTTTAAACACAAAGTAATACAAAAATTGCAAATTATTGATAATATAAATGGTGAATTCCAAATTACCTGTATTTAAACCTCCGATCACTCCACCTAATCCACTTAATCCACCTAATCCACCTAATCCACCATTGTTTATCAGAAGTCCACTACCACTGACAATTCCACCAGCCCCACCAATAACTCCACCGCCTCCAATGAGTGATCCACCTGTGACAACTCCACTACTACCAAGTCCTCCTAACAATGGACCTACTTTGCCATACGCCGAAACGGATCCGACAAGTGAAACTAAAAGTATAGTCAACATTATCGTGGTTTTACTTGATCAGTAGAATATGTGAAATTCTATTCGAATATGTATGTCCTTTTATACTACTCTTATCGTAAGGCACGTAATACATTGCTTACAAAAACTAGTGGTTTGATATATTATGAAAAAGGAGAGTTTTTAAATTGTGGTTAAAAAATGTTCAGTTCAGACATATGTTTATAAAGAAGGGCATTTGTTTGTGAACAAAATCCGAAACAGAGCATGCAACTATCACGAACGTTAGAAATGACTTTATTAGGTCAAAGAATAACAAAATGTTTTGCTGATGTAAGCCATAACCTGCCAATTTTCACTATTGCATCAGATTATATGTTTTGATAAAAAGAGCACTTTATTAATTTCATAAGTATATTAACTTGAAAGAATAGATTGATACAAAAATACTATATCTTTTAGACTTTTGTATTGCATCTTCATAAGAAGAATAAAACAATTGAAGTGCAAAGAATACATCGTCTTGACTAAATAGGCAATATTATACAAACACTTAGTGTTTCTTAATTTTACTGGATATATGAATTACTAAGCAATTACTTATAAAATACCGAGTCTGCTAATTATAAAAAAAAATAAGGTCCTTGAAACTGATGTTATACTAACACGACTAATGCATGATAATCGTCTGGTTCGATTAAAATGTGTACTTTATGATAAAAAAGTGGCATTCCGAAAGTAATCAATGGCACTTGGTCATGCATCATTTGGTATTGATCTGACCTCCAGAATAGCGTTGTTCGTAAACAAAAATTACAGCGCATTTCGATTTTACAGACTTTGACATATAAGTACGTCAGTCAATATTCTATTCTGTACGTCGGATTTCCTTAATGATTGGATTACTTCAACCAGTCCTAAACTATTACGACTTGGGCAATTGATATAATTGGAAATGGATCAGCCACCCTGACAGTTTTTATTATATACATGTTCAGTGTTCAGATAGTTTAAAAATCGCAATTTGACAACCTACTTGTTTTACTGAAAAAGACACTTGTTTTTCAACACGGCTGTTTTTCTCAAACAAATCGTATATCATCTGGTGATTATAATTCTGGTATCTTTTGTGAGTTTACATATTGCACTAGACAATTAATAAAAATAGCAATTTAACATATCATCTTATAGCTATCGTAGAGTAACTGAATCAAACAACTCAAGAAACATAATTAAACTGTCAAAAATAGCAAGAAAATATTTAAAAATTGATAAATCGGTTTTTGCTATTTCTGTATTCTGTTTTGGATTACATCAGCGAAGTGTGCGTGACCATGAAAGATGTTCGTGATAACAGCATTTTCTGTACTGAAATGTGTAAAAAAATGTATCAGTAAATATATTAGGTTAGTAAGTGTTAACCATATTTATTAAACATTGTCATCATACATCAATCTCGATTTTTTTTTAACGAATTGACGATAAGTCCACGACAGCACTAGCTTATGAAAGATAACATTTAAAAACGAAGAACAATCTTTTATTTTCACCAACTTTGAGGTCTTAGACAAATGTTTCACCATCTTATCCTAAGGAATACCCTGTATTTTAGAATGAAACAACATCAGGCAAAGTTTACCTAAGATTGATTTGGCTGTTATTTTAGGGCCCTTTTCGTCAGATATCTATTTTCCACCGTACTTTTACATCCTTGTTTTTCAAACTTTTGCCGTAAGCTTTCCTGAGGTCAATCAAAGAAAGTGCTTCACACGCATACATTTTCAACCTGATATTTTTAATGAGTTCATACATTACACTTAAAATATTCAAAATAGAACCCTTTATCCTATTCTTTTCTAATTAGTTGTTGTGTTTTAGATTTAAATGGGTTTTTGCCATTGTGAGAGTAAGGTGTTGACATTTGATTGTTAATGTTAAAATTTAAAAAAACTGTAATACGTTCTCATATAAGGAAATCTGAAAGAAACTAACGTTCAACTTCAGCAGGCAAGTTTGACATAAGATAGATTTAACGATATTGTTTGTTGATTTTTTTTTATCAATTAACTCTTACTTCCGTATGTTTGCATCACAGTCGTTCGTATGTTAAGATTGAGCATTCTCGATGAAGGTTAATCCACATAATCGTTTCGGACACACTAAATGTATAAGCTGTTGATTTATTTTACTAGCACTGATTAGATACTTAATCAGATGTGTAGTTAATGCTTTGGGAATGAAATTATTTATAAAATGTCCTTAATATAAATTTCCCGTTTTTATCATGCTTATGTTGAGAAGGTTGAACGAAAAAACGGTTCCAACTTCCTTAGGCAAAATTGACCTGCAATGGATTTGGTTGTTCTGTAATGGCCTTTTTCAGCATATAGCTTAAAATGTTAGGCGTAATAACGTAACACTGGTTTGAAACGTTAAGACCAATTCTCTGTAACTACCAACCATTTCATGTAGGGAGGTCGTCACGCATAGTTGCCGATTTTCCTGAAACTTAGCTTTAACATTTAATCAGGTAATGTATTTGCTCTCTTGAGAAATAAAATAGATAGAAACATTAAATATAAAATATCAGCAACACAAGATGTACAAAAAAATAAACTTGGTTGAACTCGTCAGCTGATTCCTTTTAAGAGTTACAGCCTTTTAATGACGATTTCAATCATTTTTTTGCGTTTTTGTTAAATTACAAAAATTATCAGCAAGACAAGCTTACGAATAAGTCAGCATGGTTTGAATTGGTCTGACGACCCCTTATTATAGTTATTGCCCTATAAAGGCGAGTTTTGTGTAACAGTCGTCATGTAGTGTGAACATATCTTAATAAAGAATTTGTTATATGTAGCTACAAGATAAAATAAATAAGAAATATATAAGTAATTCAATAATTGGGATAAGGACAAAACAGCAGTGGTTATTTAAATCTGTCTCCCTTAGTACCCGTTTAAGGGCAAAACGCCTATATGGAATCAAAAGACAGTTTCGGCAATGTTGCTTTATTAGTCTTTTAGTAATTTTTGCTATTA